GGGGGGGGGAGGGAGAGAGAGAGAGAGAGAGAAAGAGAGAGAGAGAGAGAGAGAGAGAGAGAAAGCCAGAGGAAGGGCCTGGGGCCAGGAAGTCTCCAAGGTCACGTCCCTATGACTCACTCCCTTCAACTAGGCCTCACCTCTTTCTGCCATCACCACCCTACGATACTGTCAGATGTGACCTAATCAGTGGATTGATCCACTGATGAATTAAAGCCCAGGTGATCCAATCCCTCCCCAAAGCCTGTCAGCTGGCAAGCCTTGAGCACACGTCTTTGGGAGACACTGCAAATCCAAATGAGCAACAGTGTCATTGTGAAGAACTTTGGCTTTGTAGACAGGGCTGCACTTTTAGACCCACTAGTTGACATGTGATGAACAGTGTGTGAGCAGGGAGAAGGCTGTGTTGCTGTGGGGCAGTGTGTGTGTGTAGGCTTGTGTGATACAGTGCTCGTGGGGCACAGAGTTGCTCCTGTGGCACCTGAGGGAAAGCAGAAACTGGGTTGGGAAGTGTGCACATCTGACAGAATGCATGACTAGAAGTTAGAACCGCTTGGGCTACAGAACTAGGGCCACATTTGACTTTTATGGGCCACAGTTACTTTTGCCTTCATGGGCCCTTTCTTCTATTTAAAGATACACATACATCTTTGTGACTTTATTAGAAAAATAATTCATTATTGTATACAGCATTATATTCTTTTTCAGACTGTAGAACATTCTTATAGGCCTACTGTCCCTGACAAAACAGGGTGGTTGCTGTTCCCTGGGTGGGAACTCTGGGATGACAGGTGTAGGTGGGGAGGGTGGAGGCCCAGACTGAGGTCCGACCCTCAGAAGCCCACCAGATGTGTGCAGGGTCCCGGTGAGATCAGAAAGTGTGGGTGGAGGATGTGAAGGAAGCCTCACAGGATGGGTGGAGGACAGGCACCTCCTGGGCCACCGGCCCCTCCCTGTGTACCACAGGGCACACCTTCCCTTGGCCAGCTGGAGCTGGGCATTTTTAGGGGCAGGGGTAGCCTGGGCTGGCTCTGGCCAGCATAATTTCCTGTTTCTCTTTTGTCCCTCCAGGGAGGACCTCAGGGGTGACTGAGCTCTTACCTGATTTTCAGGCGGGGCCCATGGAAGGTATGGGAGGTTGGAGTCCTCAGTAGGGGGCTTCTCCTGGGAGCCCCAACACCACTTGTTATTCTCCCTGACCCCTAACCATCGCTCGCTGTGGACCCCCACTAACCTGCCTGACTCTGGGATATGTAGTGGCCTGCTGTAGGCTTGCGGGTGAACTGGGCTGGCTGGGGATGGGCTTGGCGTGTAGGCAAGGGCTCAAGTGACTGGCATCCACTGTATTCTTTAAGGGTTGGGGTCTGGGCTGTGGCTCTGTCCCCTCTTCTGGGGGCTGCAGTCTGTCTTGCTCTGGCCGGGTTGCCTCTTACTTTCTGCCTTGTCCATTTGATGCCAGGGAGTCCCTCACTTGGGGACTGGCCTGGGTTGGAGCGTGTTGGGCAACCCTCAGCTGCTGCACCCCAACCTCTCTGGGGCATGGGGAATCTAGCAGATTCCCTGATAAGGTTGCCTGATAAGCTTGTGGAATGGGCCCCATCCCCCAAGTGTGAGCTCTGCATTACCCTGCAGAGCCTGTCCCTTCCTGTCCCTCCCAGCTCAGGGCTTGTCCTCATCTCTGCAGACTGGCTCTTTGTGGTCGTGGTGTGCCTGGCTGGCTTCCTCGTCTTCCTCCTCCTGGGCATCTGCTGGTGTCAGTGCTGCCCGCATACCTGCTGCTGTTACGTTAGGTGCCCCTGCTGCCCTCAGAAGTGCTGCTGCCCGGAGGCCTGTAAGTACCCCTCGAGTGCCAGTCCTACATAAGGTAGGACAGATCTTCCTGCCCACCAGGACAGTGCCCCTGGCATGGAGGTTAGCAGTGAGAAAATAGGCCAAGGAGTACCTGCTATTTTGGATTATTCACTTATTTCAACTTTACATTTACTTTGAGGTTTTTCTTGTATAATTTATGCACATGGTAAAAGGAAAATGTCCAATTAATACAAGATACTATCCATAGGAAATTGAAACTCCCCTTAAAAATAAAATCTCTGAGCTGGGGTGGTGACACATGGCCTGTAATTCCAGCCCTCTGGAGGCTGAGGCAGGAGGATTGCTGAGAGTTCAAAGCCACCCTGGGTTACATAGTGAGTTCAGGACCAGCCTGACGAGAGACCCAACCTCAAAAAAACCAAAAATAAATAAATAAAAAAAAAATCTCAAGTGAAAATGGTATGTTAATCAAATGAGGTTTGTGGCACCATGTAATTTCAGCAAATTTTCAAAATATACAAATGTTGCACATTTTGCGTATACCCTATGTTTAGGAATATATGTAGCACATCAGAGTGGGCACCCATGGAAGACTGGGATCAGAAATGAAGGGGCCAAGGACAAATAGAGGGAAAGAAAAGAAGAAAGTTAAGCTAGGCACTGTGGCCCATGCCTGTAATCCCAGCTATTTGGGAGGCTGAGGCAGGAGGACCGTAAGTTCCAGACCCGCCTGGGCAACTTAGTGAGACTCAAAAAAATAAGAAGGGTTAGGGATGTAGTTCAGTGTTCCCTGGATTCATTCATTAGTAACACACACACACACAGGAGAATCTCCCTCTCACCACAAGTAAAGAAAGATCTCCCTTTCATCGCTGCCCTAGGCCACTCCTCTGCAGGGACAATAGCTGTTGCTAGTTCCTTAACGTCCTTCGGGAGGGTGTCCGGTAGACCAACCTCTTGGCACACGGCCCAAAGTGCGTGCATTCACAGGAATGACAGACAGTTACAAGCGGGGCCGGGTGGAGGTTCCCAGCTGGTAGGATGCCTGGATGGCTGACAGGCTCCTCCTGCCCAGTGAGTACTTTGCCCTCTTGAGTCTCAGTTTTGCCCCTGTAAAGTGGGGCTCTGGGCAGAGCTCACTGTTCCGGGTGAGTCCGGATGTGGTGAGCTCAAGTGCACAGCCTGAGTGCAGGGCTGGCCTGTGTACCATGCCTGCTAGCTGCTGGCCATTGCTACGGGGAGCATCAGTGATGACTGGGCTAGGGTGCAGATCAGGGACTGCCACACCCACCGTGTGACCGACGGGCATCAATCCCTTCTCCCAGGTCTCACGGGGCGACGTGAGCTTCAGGGGAAGCCTGTGAAGGTGTGTGGGAGGGGGCTGCAGCGCCACCTGCGCTGACTCATGTGCTCGCTGAACTCAGTGGTGGGCAACCTTGTTCCTGGGGTGCTGCTCCTGAGCAGGCCCCACTGCTCTGCAGGATGCTGCTGAACATCCTGTCCCCTCATTTTTTTTAGTTGAGAGCTCTGGCTCAGGCTGTGGATGGCAGTCCACTGTACAGATCCCAAGGGCAGGCTGCAACCAGGTCGGCAGCTGACCACTAAGAAAGAATATGGCCAGCATGGCACAAGTCTGTCTCAAAGCCCTATGTGTCCCGAGGCCACACTTCTCTATCCCAAGACCCTGTCACCCTCCAAGGGCACCCCCCTTACTTCTGCTGCAGGCCCAGCCCTCTGCTGACTAATCAGGCAGTAGCTCCTTGATGCTAATTATAACATGGGAAAGTCACCTGAGATAATGAAGGGGTTTCTCCTAGGCGGGGCCAAATCCTTAGTCTCTTGCTTTTGAACTAAATCAGAGGTGGGGGGTGGGGGCTTTGGCAGCCTGTGGTGTCCCCAGGAGAAAGTAACTGTTGAAGGAGCAGCCATCCAGACTGCATTGTGTGGGGAGGAAGGAAGCCAAAAAGGATTTGTCTTGAGCTGTCAAGCCTAGAGCCAGGTGGGCAGGGTGGGAATAGGTGTGGCCAGGAACTGGAAACCTGAGAGGAGCTATTCTGCTGCTTGGCAGAGGCAGACAAGTGACCTCAGGAGGCCCCTGTGCACCCTGTTGGTTGCATCTGGCTGTGAGATGGGTTGCCCAGTGGAGGGGAGGGGCACCCAACAGGCATGACAGCATCGTGGTCATGGGATCCCCCAGATTACTCACTGTTCTAGAGGAGGGCCCTAGCCACCCAAGGAGATACTCAGTTCCTGCTTGTGGTGACAGTGGTGGGCCCAGAATGTGGGCCTTATCTAGAAGGGTGGCTCTGCTAAAAGCACACAGGTCCAGGGCAGAGGCGTCTCTGGAAAAGTTGGAATTCTGAGTAAAACCTTGTGTCAGATGTTGGCAAATCACCATCATGTTAAATATACTGGCCTGCCAGACTGGGGCTGTGGACCGCCAGTGTGCACTCTATTGCAGAAACTCTTCCAGGAGTTACAGAGGAGATGGGACTCAGTAAGCCGATGTCCCCTGGCTTAGGGGGTCCTGCGGAATTGGAACGAGTTGGGGAGGTGCAGGCCTAGATCCCTTCAGAGTGCTGTCATGATATAGGACAGCTTGGCTCCTGGACACCTTCTCTGTGCCCTCCTAGTGTATGCTGCTGGCAAAGCAGCCACCTCAGGTGTGCCAAGCATCTATGCCCCCAGTACCTACGCCCACCTGTCCCCTGCCAAGACCCCACCTCCACCACCAGCCATGATTCCCATGGGCCCGGTCTACAATGGCTACCCTGGAGGGTACCCTGGAGACTTCGACAGGAACAGCTCAGGTGAGGCCTGGGGAGCGCCTGAGTGGGTTAGGGGTGGGCTGGGCCAGAAAAGGGGATGGGGAGGAGGGCTGAGCAGCCACTGACAGCCAGTCTCCCCTAGTGGGCGGCCACAGCTCCCAGGTACCCTTGCTTCGAGACACTGACAGCAATGCAACCTCTGGTAAGAGCCCGTCTTCCAAGGCTAGACAGTGGGGGTGGGTGGGTGGATAAGCATCCTTTCTGCAAACCTGGTCATTTCTGCCCGTCCCCAGAAGTTCGCAGTGGCTACCGGATCCAGGCCAATCAGCAGGATGATTCCATGAGAGTCCTGTACTACATGGAGAAGGAGCTGGCCAACTTTGATCCCTCTCGTCCTGGGCCCCCCAATGGCCGTGTGGAGCGGGGTGAGCAGGAGACCTGGGGTCCAGTGGAGCAGGGGGAAGCATGTTTCCTTGATCCCTGCCCTGGGGATGCTTGCTACAGTTCTGACATAGACCCTCTTCCCTACTCGACTGTGGGCTCCTCCCACCATCAGTGACATCTTCCTTCCCTACAGCCATGAGTGAAGTCACCTCCCTCCATGAGGACGACTGGCGACCCAGACCTTGCCGGGGTCCTGCCCTCACCCCTATCCGGGATGACGAGTGGGGTCGCCACTCCCCTCCCCCTCAGAGTCCCAGGAGATGGGAACAGGAGCCCCACACAGAGAGGCCAGGGAGTGGCTGGGGGGGTGGTCGGCCCCGAGCCCGCTCTGTGGATGCTCTGGATGACCTCAACCGGCCGGGCTCCACAGAATCAGCAAAGTCTCCTGCAAGTAGTGGGAGGAGAGGACGGGCCTATGCACCCCATCGAAGCCGTAGCCGTGATGACCTCCTCGACCCAGACGCCTCGAGGAACTTTCCACACTCTGGAGATCCCCACTATGATGACTTCAGGTCTAGTAGGGACCGCCCTCCTGCTGACCCCAGATTCCGCTACCGGTCCCGGGACCCTCGAGATGATGGTTCCAGGCCCAGGGATCCCCAATATGATGGGCGGCTACTAGAAGAGGCCTTGAGGAGGAAGGAGCCAGGGGAGAGGGGAAGACCATACCGGGAGGAAGACGACGAGGACGCCCACTACCCTCCAGCTCCTCCCCCATACTCGGAGACAGAGTCTCAGGCCTCAAGGGAGCGGAGGCAGAAGAAGGTGAGCAGATAGCCCAACCCCTCTCGGCCCTCGGAGACCTCTCTCCATGCCCTCCCAGTTCACACCTTTCTTTCTCTCTTGCAGAGCTTGGCCCTCAGTCGGGAAAGTTTAGTCGTCTGATCTCACATTTTGTATGTAGCTTTTGTACTTTTATCTGGTACTGGGGACTAAACCCACAGCGTTCGCACTGAGCTACGTCCCCGGCCCTTTTTTTTTTTACTTTTTAAAATTTTGAGGCAGGGTCTCGCAAAGTTGCTCAAGCTGAGCTCGAATTTACAGTCCTGCCTCGGTATTCCAGCGTTGGGATTGCAGGCGTGCGTGCCACTAACTTGCACCACTACACGGAGCTCATACTTTTATTTTCTTTTTTTAATTTGAGAATACTGAAGATCTTCCCCTCTTAAGTCAAATAAAATTGATAAACACAAGGCCTATCTTGAGAGGAGCATTTGTTGCTGCGGGAGGTGGGGGGTCCCAGGCAGTTAAGGCGTCTGCAAAACACCACGTCCCGTTTTCCTACCCGGGCTGGAGTCCCGGGTCAGGAGGAAGAGCCCCGCCGGCCAGAAGCCTGCTCCCTCTCCCCCGGACAGGAGTACGTGCCCCGCGCAGCCTCCACCCGGCCTGC